GAGTCCTACAAGGTCTTAGCGGGATAGGGATAGAAACATTCATGAACTTGTTATAGGGTTTCTGCGCGCGCTAGACTGTCTAGGTCTTAGGGGTAAATGCTCCGGGCTTGAGGGCAATAACATGCAAACAAAAACTCTTATCAGGGCCAGCGTCCTGCGGGCTAGAATCTGAGGGGTGTTATGTTACGTTGGCTTACATCGTGTTTCGGGGTAGGTTCCTCATTCTTATGATTTTTCCTCCTATGCCTACGTTCGCTGCTAGTCTGGCGATTACGAAAAACGAAAGCATGGATTGCCTAGCCAGGCACAGGAGCTCTGTGCTACGCCGCACAGGAGCCTCTTTAAGAGTCTTTCTGCTGGCCCCTCTAGAGGCTTCGGTCTCAGAATTAAAGCTTCAATTGAAAACACCGTCAACGATGGCGAGTAGCCAGGAGAACCCTGCCAGACAACAACAATGCCAAGCCTCTGGAGAAAAAACTCTTTGCTACTCCGAGGAAACCATTGCTTACTTGATATGACGACCTCTCAAAAGAGCAAGTCGCTCGGGGGGTCCTTAGATATGAGGAAGGTACATCCTACTATGTAGGGTTTATGTTAGGGGCCCCGCTTTTGATAGCCATGGCTCAACCTCACTGCAACGTCGTCATCGTCGCAAAGGCCCCGGCGGCGTAGACCGCTTCTCGATCATCGCCGCAGCCGCGGGTACATCCGTCTGCTGTGCCTCCTCCTGTGCGGGATTTCAATTTTGGAGGTTCAGGGAAACTAAAACCCTAAACTTGAAGACCCTAAAGCCTAAACCCAAAAACCCTAAACCAAGCGCTACAGTGCAAAACCTAGAACCCTGTAGATGCATTAGAAAGTCTTGTTGGAAACTCGTCCTAAACCGACCAGGCTGTATAGAGGGCTGTTTACGTCTTGGGCCACACGGCCTTAGCTTACTTACTCTTGCAAATGGTGGACCCCAGAAGACGAAAGAGTTAGCAATATGTATCCCCTAGTCCCCAATATGAAGAAGAACCTATGATAATGCACTAAACCATGTTCTAATTATCAGGGTCACTATATTGCCAGTAGCTAAGAGGGCATGTTGTAGGGTTTGGTACTGTGGAAGCTTATAGGGTTTCAAGGGATAAGAAGACATTCGCAAGGTACAGGGCCGTAAGGGTTTTGGGTTTAGGGGTTTAGGGTTGAGGGTTGCAGGTTCAGGGGTTCAGGGTGTAGGGGTTTCGGGTTAGAATTCAACACCTGATTCGTCTCGAGCTCCGTTGCGACCGCTTGGAAGGCGCCACGTCAAAAGCTCCCCATTGCCTGACTGCGAAAACCCAAGTCTTCCAGGATTGAATGTGGGTAGTTGTCAAAATTATGGTCCCTTTTGGGGTACCCGAAATAATAGGTGCCGTATTATAACAAGGGCCCCAAAAGGGACCATAATTTTGACAACCACCCAAATGAAATCCTGCTTTCGCTGTCATCTGCAAAAGGCGACTCGTTCTGCCGCAGAGAACTGGCCCGTTTGGACAGTCGATTGCAAAGACGGTGGCTCACTCCAAGCAGAACTGGTAGCAGCACCTCTGGGTCGATGGGCTCTTCGTGGCCGTCGGGCCACTGCCGCTCGATGGTGCCAGATGCTGCCGGGGCTGCCTGTGGCGGGCGCCAGCGCGACTCAGGAGATGGACAGACGCCCGCAATGTCCACCACACCAAGCTTACCTTCATCCCACAGTCCCTAGAACCTGAGCCCTAAGCCTAACCTTATGCTTCCAGGAACATTGTTCTTGGGTTCTTAAGGGGTCTAGGGCCCCAACGAAAAGACAAAGGTCCTTGGAAGTTGGAAGCATAGAGTAAACCCCAAACGCTAAACGCTAAACCCTATAAGCCCCAGACCATCAACAGTATCGGGAGGCAGTCAGTGAAAAACGAAAACCCAAAGCAGCCAACACGCAACTAGCAAGTGGCATCAGCCCCTAGACGAAACCCTGCCAAATCCTCAAAGGAACCCTTAAAAAAAAACCCTGTACAAGCGTACAATTACAAAACCACATGAAGCGCTACAAAACCCTATACCGGTAAAACCCTATGAAACCCCATCACACAGCCGACGAAGGACAAAGAAGACCCTAAACCCTAAACCCTAAACCTAAACCCTAAACCCTAAACCCTAAACCCTAAACCCTAAACCCTAAACCTATTCCCTAAACCCTAAACCCTAAACCCTAAACCTAAACCCTAAACCCTAA